GAGTGAAAAAGGAATGCATTTATGAATGAACAGGTGTGTTTTCCAGAAAGCCATTAGGGCAGAGGGCAGCAGCTGTCAGAAGAAGGGAGAGGGGTTCCTTTCCTAACACTCAGACAGTCTGATCTCTTTTGGGATTTGATCCCATGAGGAAAGCTAAACCACAAAGCCATCTTGGAATAGGTTCATTTTGATCTTTGTCAAAGACCATCTCCCTTTCCTGCCCCACAACCACACCATGAAGTTTATTCAAGAATGCAGCTGGCCAGGTGAAAACAAGAGGGAATGCCTTTCTCACCACTCCTCAAGCACGGAGTCTGTGAACAGCACATACCTCCAGCACTTTGGCCTACAGAAGGGTCATGAAAATGGGAGAAGCAGAAGAATCAGTGCAGAATGATCTGAAAGCACAGAGCATGAGCCACACAGGGTATTCACCACAATGGGGCTGAGGATGGCATCACAGCCAAAAGAAATTTGGTTTAAATTGTAAACCTCTCACGGTATCATCCCACTGATGTCATAGTTTTAGCCAAGTTTCACTAGACAAACTCACTTAAATATGCTTGCCATTTTAAATTCTGCTACAGGAATCACAACTGCTGCATTTTCCAGCATGACAAGTAGAATAGATTTAGGTTGGAACCAACTTGCTTGTTGCACAGAGTTTTCTTTCTAGAAAAATGGCAGTTTCTTTTGCCCAAACTTTAGCACTTAAAAAAGAAGACAGCTTAGAAGTGTTTAATCTGTTATCACCTGCTGCTTTTGCCACTTCCTGTAATATTTGGAAAGTCCTGCTCTTTATTCAAAAGCTGAGTTATCAGATGTGGTGAATAATTCCCCAACACATCTATCTGATTTGTTGCCTACATCAACATGGGAAATTAAATGACCCAGACTGTACCTTCATTCTACTAATGGAGTGGGAAGCTGCTTCAAAACAATTACAGTCTGCAGCTGGTCCTTTCCCTTGCTCTGTTTCCCCTCCAAAGAAGGGGAGCAGAGGCAGAGATGCCCAGGGCAGAGTGCATCTTTGCATCCCTGCCCAGTGGTGACAGAATTCTTAATGATAATATTTCTGCTCCAAAAACAGGAGTCAGACCAGACACTGTGCTGGAAAGGTCTCTCACTCTACTGGTTTCAACACAAATGTGCACCATCCCAGGAATGTCTCCATGGGCCATGACTGAAACCCCAATTTCTCTGCTTCCTCCCTGAGCTGTGCAGGTACAAGGCAGCTCTGAGTTGGTTGCAGCTTCAGCAGTTGCTAAAATGCTGAGCATCATCATGTGGTGCTAAGTGAGCTCTGCAGCTCGTGACTGGCATTGGAGCACATCCCACCAGCCTGGGGAAGGGACAGAGGGCAGCTCATGTTGCGTCTGCTGACACAGGGCCTGTGTCTGAATGGGCAGTGGGGACACTACACCTTCACACAGGCAATTCGAAACAAGATTTCTTGAGGCCTTCTTCCTTTCCCTTTCCCTTCCCCATCCTGTCCTTTATAAGAATGTGTGTCTAAAGCCAGGTGAAGAAGTGACAGCTCAGCTAGATTTATCAGACTTCCATCCATTTGAGAGATCCAGTTACAATGCCCACAGATCCCGACTGTGAAAGTGGCTCAGTAGAGAAAGTCTTTGATCATGAGCAGTTCTGTAGAAATAAAGAAGCACTAAGCACACTGTGGATTCCTCTTAAAGACAAAGGTTTGTTGAATTACACATACATCTACATATGTGTACATACACATGCAGACATATATACTCATAGTCTCCACCTACCTTAACCTGCAGTCACCCAAACTACTGTACTGAGCTTTTGCTTTTCAAATCTGTAACAAGAATGTGAGGATGGAAACTTAAGAAAGTTTCAAAAGCACACAAACATCCTCAATGAACAGGCTTCCCACATCCTCACATACAGAGGATTAAAAAAATTATTTTAATAACTGACTCCTTATAAATGATTAATGTATTGTATTGCATGTAAGTGCTCTTCTGTTTCTAGGAATATCTTGTTGGGTAATATTCTCATTTGTGATTCATTGCATGTCCTTTTATAATTGCAGTGAAACAATGGTTTCTGGGTAAGTGGTTTTTAAAAGTTTGTTGGGTGCTACAGGAGATCAAAGTACAATAAAACTTACATGGAAGCAAAAGTGGTGCATGAATAACAGCACCAGCTTTAACAAAGGACTGAACAAACACATGTAATTCTGAACAGGATGGACTGAATTTTTCATGCTGTCAGTTCATCGTGGAAGGCTCCATTCAGATGAAAAGGCTGAGCAGACAAGCCTGCACATACCAGCACAACCCTTTGCTTCAAAAACACACATACACAAGCCTGGGTTCCCATGGGCAGGGAGACTCTCACTGCAAGATGCCAACATAGATCTTTACATGCAGAGTTTGGGGTCCTCTGAACAGAGTAAATGCACATGTATAAGCAGCCTCAGCAAATATTAATGACTAAACCAGGCAGTCTTTATTTTAGTGAGCAGAGAAGTGGCCAGAGCAGCTGGGATAACCTCAAGTTCATATCCCAGCACTATCAAGAAGCAGAAAACAACTGCCAAATAAGTCAGATATGACACTTCAAGATCTATTCACCTGTTGTTTTGTTTTAGTGAGGGAAAACATTGAGGCTGAGAATGAAATTTTTCTTTACTGTTAAAAATAAAAGGAATTCTTTTCTGTAAGCATGAACTAAGTAGAGCACTGAACAATTCTTAACAGCAGATCATCCCCAAATTCAACCAAAATTCCTCACAGCTTCTCCAGAACTCCTACTATTTCCAATACAACCCTGGTGGGGACTCCTGAATCTCACTAATCAGTCCCAAAAACTAGGGGGAAAAAGGGTTTTTAGCTTGGCCATCTGCATTTGGAAGCAAAATGCTTAGCTGCAGGGCTTCAGCATTTTTGACAGTAAAAGTAAATTGCAAGTGCAGTGATCAGCCAGTGAGCAGCAGTCTTTGTGGAATTAGTCACTCTTCCAGACTGAACACAGAACATAGGTTAGCTTATTGCTTCCCAAATATCAAATAAAAATAAAATATAAAGAGGAAAGACTAATTCTGACTTAAACAGTGGAGAAAAAGAACACAGAACAAAATGTGTCAAAAGTAAGGGGCCCTTTCCCCAGAAAATGATACAGTTAGATGTTGTAGATTTGCTCAGACTAAAAGGAAGGCAGCAAATAACATATTCTACCTATATAAAGTCTGGGTTTGAGCAATTGTACTGAAATGCAGTGTTTTGAATGCAATATCCAAGTATCACAATAATCCATTAATACAGAGCAATATGGCTATTATTTTGTCAAAATAAACTACAGAATGGAGAAATCTTAGAGGCCTAAATTGCTCTGGGATTTCTGTATAGCCTCTCTGCAGAAATACCAACCCAAAACGTAACGTGAAAAAAGTAGCAACTAAGGACATTCAGACAGAATGTCTTTCTTCATTCCCAGGTGAACAGAAAGCTCCATGACTTGTGTCCAAATATTTTGAAAGCATCAGCACAAAGGAGTGACAGGTTTTAAAGACATCACCTACCTTCCATGATTACATGAACTGTATCAGATTGAAGAAATAAAACTTTTTTTCCCCTTGCTACGGTAGTTATTTTCATTCCCCTCAACAGCAATCTGGTCTTCTATGGATGCAGTGGCATTTTAAAACCTGAAGTGTGAAGGTTATGAACTGAATTAACACAAAGGGCAAAAAATAATTTAAAAAATGTAGAACCAATATTTATACAGCAATTTACCAGGCCATAATCATGATGAAGTCTGTGTAATTGTTTGTGAATATGAAGGGCTCCAGGGCGGTGAAAACTGTAGTAAAATTTGATGTGCCTTTTAATCCCTGGATGAACTGCAAGGCCCTGCTTGCAGGAATAGTTCCTGCACTAGGAAACGCTGTTCTGTCACTGGGAGAGATTTGCAGGTGAGGCTGCCCAGCCATGTCTGAGCTATGGATGCCAGGAGCCCTGCCAGGCCTGTGTGTGTGCCAGGGTACCACCCCACAGCCTGGGACAGAACCAGGCGGGAGCACCTCCACACCCTGCCCTTGCGCTGCACTGAGGGAGATCCAGGAATACCAACAAAACCAGAGAAGTGGTACATTCAACAGGCTCCTCGGTGTGGATAGTGGAAGGAGCAGGAAATGTGCAAAATGTGCCTGCTGTGCTGCTGGCACCAGGCAGGGACATGTGAGGCCGGTTCTCAGGAGGCTGTGGGATGGCAGGAAAAGGCTGGCATGTTGCTGTGCTTCTGCCTGCCCACTGGGGTGTCAGCTCTCACCCAGCAGCACCCCTCTCTCCCTGTGTCTGCATGCTGTGGGACTCAGTGCTGCCTGCACTTTCATGCTCTGCTGTTATACAGCACAAACAGGGAATGTTTTCTGCTGAGGCAACAGTCAGTACAAAGCGACCAGAAAGACCCCAAGCAAAAGCCACCCAGAACAACCAAAGAGAATTCAGGGGGCACAAAACAAGTCTACACTGTTAACAGTGTTGTGAGTATCTCACCAGCCTTTTTCAACCTCTACCCTTTGAGCTTTAGTACCAAAAGGTACTATGAAGCATTCAAAACACCTCAGCTTAACTCTAAGAGGCTAAAAATCTTAATAGAAATTGCATATGGAATTCCTTTTCTTTTTTAAGCTTCAGAAATGCATGGTTTGAAATCCCCAGTGCTCTTCCATCAATGTGGAGGTGACTAAATGTAGCAAAGAGCAAAGGTATTACAGGGCAGATTCTTATCTGTTTTTCATTACATTGTACAGCTGCTCACATCCCTACCATGAGTTCAAAGCTTGAACACAAACTGTTACTGTCTGACAAAAACTCTGCACTGTGTATCAAAGAGCACCCAGCCACATTTTCAAAAGCAGGTTTTTTTAACTCCAAGAAGAAAGTTTTCAGACATAAATTGTATTTCCCCAAGCCACTGGCAGTACCCCAGCACTCCCCAGGAAGACAGGTAACACCACACCCTACCCGTAGAAATGATGCTCCTCCGACCGCTTGCTCTGTTCCCTGCTCCGTCTGCCTCAGAGTGCCCAGATCAGATCCTGCCCCGGAGAAAAAGCACAGTCAAAGGCTTGTGACACTCAGAGCCGAGTCCTGGAGCCAGGCTGCAGGAGGATCAAGCAGTAGTGGGCTGAAGCAGCATGGATGGGAGATGTATCAAAGTATATTAGTGCTCAATCATCACACATAGGTAACTGAAAGCGTCTCAGTTTGAAACTGCTGGTCACCATCTGGTGATAAAATATGGAGATGCCAAGTGAGTTAAAGCGAGCTTGTGCATACCAGCATATTTTAGTTACACTACAAAATGAAACCCATCATCACCTTCATTCATACTGTGGTGTCTGTCCCAGCGTTGCAGTTTCATACAATTTGTGTTAACTTTTTCCCTCCTTAGCTTCAATTACAAGCCAATTTCATCTTTCCATCACATACACACAAACATAACCTTCCAATTCAAGACACTTCTCATACGAAAGGAAGTTAAGTGCAAAAGAGAGCAGCTGAGACCTATAAAGTCATGCCACTCCTAAAAACAGGCACAGAAGTCAGGCATTGGCATGAATTTGCTAAATGATGCAGAATTAAAGTGTTAAAGGAAAAGACAGGAGTCTGGCCCTTCCCCTGCTTCACAACTCTTCAGTGTGAATTACAGAATCCTAGGAGCACAGTAAGATGAGGCCTAGCTGACCTTTAAAACAATGAATAATTTCCTAACACGGCAAGATGTTTTAAATATACGTAACAGCTTTAAACACCCAAAGCACTCTCTGTTTAATTATTTTTGCTACATCTGAAATATTTGAGGAAAATGTAGATGATATCTCTAATTTGTTAATTACCAGCTGGCTCCTACCATGCATTATTAAGCTACTGTGGCAGTGACTAATGCCTCTGACAATACTAAATTACCAACAACACCTTGTGGAGGAATGTGACCCGAGCAGCCTAGAAAGGACTACCCGCAGGTGTTTATTTTCAGATAAAGATGGCTTAGTAACTCAGGCATAGAGCAGTACCACAGTAATGCCCAAGTCTAGAGGAGGAGGGCTGCACCCCAAACCCCACACAGTGCCTACCCCATGAGCACTGCCATGCTCTGTGGCTGGAGTAACCCAGACACCTGCATCCTGCTCCCTGCTCACGGCACAGATGTGGAGGAGGAGGAGCACACAGGGTTTTTCTCTGGAGGTGCTTTAGCTGCAGCCATGGCTCCTCACTCAGTGGCTTGGGCAGGGGTGCTGGATGAGCACAGAAGCACCATGCACCCATGTCTGGGACTCTTCCAGCCCAGCAGTCCCAAAGGCTTTGAAACAGGGAAGATGAAGACAAAGGAAATGTCATTGCCCACAGAAGGTCCCTCTGCACAGCTGCAGCCCAAGCACTGCCCTTTTCCTCTCACCTTTTTTTTTCCTCTAAGCACTTTTTGCCAAATTGATTAAACTAATAACATTACAGCTTGAACAGGAACGTACACATCTTAGTCGTATGTGTGTGAAATAACATTGCTCTCCCTTCCAAGTCCTCCAGGAGTGGTGAGGAAATCCAGTCTTCTCTTGTGCATTTGCATTATAAAATTGCTGAACAAACCTATTCTGCTGTAAAGGGAAGGGACACATTTTCTTCCCTACTCTAAGTAGGTCAATGAAAACATGATGTTGTAAGGATGAAACCGTTTTCCTCCATCTTCTTTCCCCTAATGGCAGTTTCAAATCATTCCAATTTAATTATGTTTCTAGTGTGAGCATAGTAACACTGTAAGTTTATTAACAACTGATGTATTGGTGGTCCTAAAGTCTGGGTTTGTGTTTTCTTGAGGGCTTATTTTAGCCTTAGATATAGACATGCAATTCCTACACATGGCCCATCGCGGCACAGTTAAGAAAAGCCTGCAAAGAAATCTGGATGAGAAATGCAATGCATTATGTGGCACAAGAAATTAACACTCAGCTCTGAGACTGACACTGAGCTTCTACATTAATGTGATCTCCTTTTTAGGATGACATTCTGACTATCACCTCCTTTAAACCTGTGAGCAGTGAACTTGCTCTGCATTAGCACTGGCATAAACAAAACCAGAATATTTCCAATGGAACTACTCCAATTCATAGCACCTGGAGACTCCTCTGAGTGCATTTCATCAGGAGGGGTTATCCAGTAGCTGGAGAAACACTCAACTTCCAGCTATAGTTATCTGAATACTAAATGCTAACTAACTAACTAACTAACTAACTAACTAACTAACTAATAAATACTAAATGGCAATAAAAAAATTTGGGGGGAGAACACCCCTCTCCTCAATGAGAAAAAGGGCAGAAATTACATTGGACTAAAGAGAATACGTAGTGCCTAAAGTATTATCAAAAAAAGTTTAAAAAAGGATATTGCTTTTCTACTGTCTATTTCAGAACAGATGGTGTAAATTAGTTTTGTTCACATTATCTGAAAAAAAGAAAAAAAATTAATCCACCTCATGTAATGCCTGTTGCAAGCTCTCATTCACCCACACAAGAACTCCAAAGGCAGGACCCTTTCTGCAGCCAAATGTTTGTCATAACAAAGGTTACACGCTCTTACAACCCACTCCTTGTATCCTTGTCCTGAAAACAACAGGCCTGCCTGGGACAGTAAAGCTGAGCACATACAAGTGGACATCACTCTGTCCTCAGTGTGAAATTTTTACCCTATGAAACCCCATGACTTCAAAGGAAACTCGGATTTCATCCGAAGAATCCAATTACATATTTCAGATTTAGGATGGACTGTCAAGTGCCAGCTGACAAAGTGATGTCCCCAAGTATTTCAGGACAATGATATTTGAGATGAAATGCAAAGCCAGCTGTTTATGCCTTATCTAAGGAACATTTCAAAATGAGAAAATTATATGATGATTAAGTGTCTCCTCCACCTCAGCAAAACACATTCCACTCGGCAGAGGTCTTTGCAACCAGAATTTAGAAAGAATGTCTGTCATTAAAATAATTCCATGAGCAGTGTTATCACCAGTATCATCAAATCATAGGGATGGTAGGAAAGATATGTAATCCACCTCCCACTGTGAGATAGAGTCAGATACATTTTGTTCATGTTTATTAAAGTCATTCCTAACACTTCCAGTGATGGAGACTGCACAAGATCCACCAGCAGGGTATTTTGTGGATGAAATTTTTGTAGGGTTTACCTCCTCTTGTTTCGTTTTAGATCCATTTCTCTCTGTCCACAGCACAGAAAAAATATTACTTGCCCAGTCTTGGCAACAGCCTGTACTGTGCTGTCTGTGCTGAAAACCTGCCTTTCTCCTACTCACTCCTCAGCAGACTGCTCTTCCTTAGGCACAGAAAACTTAACCCTTTCAGGGTTTCCCCCTGGTCTATGTCCTATGGATCTCTGGTCACTTTTCCTGCCCTCTTCTCCACATCCAAAGTGGTCAGCATTAGCTTCAAGAGCAGTGCTCCAAACTGAACACAGAACTCCAGCTGAGTGCTCACCAGTGTGGGGATTGTTCCCTGCAGGCTGTGGGCCCACATGCAGCTCAATACTGTGCTTTCCTGTTTCCCCTTTCTATTGTGCAACAGCTCCACATTGCCAATCCACGTTCAACCAGGGATCCACAGCAAACTCTGTCCTTTCCTGAAGAGCTGCTGTCCCACTGGCTGTTCCCCAGCCAGTGCCTGGCGACAACAGCTACAAGGATACAGCTCAGTGAACCTTCTGAACAACACACCACCACTGCAGCCTCTGTGCACCTAAGACAAAAATGCCCTTGCAATGCTGATTCACAAAAGGCACCAAGTTGTGGGTAGTTCTTCAGCAGCACACCGTGCAAAACTGCTGCAAAACAGTTTGTGGGATACACCAAGAACTGGGCCAGTATTTGCATAAACTTCCCCACTTTTTATTTGCTCTATCTACCAGGAGCAGGGTGGGAAACCAGGTAGGACTATTTTCCCAAGGCTGAAATACCCAATTTTATGTCCTTGCTCTGTATAGAGCCTGTCAGTACAGACAGTCAAGCCCAATACAAGCCCAAGCACTCGCCTACAGTGGTGCACAACAGAAAAAGGATAGGAGCAATGACCTGTGAAATAGGTATGGACAGACCTGGCTAGGCTGGGGTTCCTTTCTGGCAAAGCTTGGTTTCTCTTGGACATAACACAATGGATGTCTTCTTTTCTACTTCAGTATTTGGCAAAAGCTCAGGCTTTGTGCACAAGGAATTTATTTTTGCTTCCTGTAAATGAGAGAGTGGCATGAAAAATTATCTGTCTTCTTAGCTGATGCCTTTTTCACAGAGAATACACTGTTCCAACAGAAGTGGATATTAAAAAGAGTAACAGCAAAGATTAGGCCTGTTCAGTCCAAGTTTCCACCAAATTGAGAGTAACTGCACATGACAATCAGCCATCACTTATTCCCCCTTCCATGAAAATGTACTGTCCTGCAAAGAGTTCATATGAGCCTGGAACTATTATTTTTCCAAAAGTCTTTAATCTCTAACATTTTTAATTCTATTTAAGAATACATTACCAGATTTAATGTAGGTGAAAAACTTATATTTTGGATTCTCTTCAACTATCCACTACCTTCTTTATTTATTTAACTGTATGATTTCTGAAATCCTATTTACTATCACCTAGGGTGACATAATTGCTATTTGCCATTATCATTTTAGCAAGTTTCCTCTGTTTACCCCCACTTCCTACTACAAAACCATTTTTTCAGTTGCTCTGCTAGATTTTATGGCTGAGCTGAAACTTTATATATCAAATATCAGAGCAAGGCTGAATGCATTATTTACACATTTTTGGCAAGTTTCAAAGCTAAAGTTAGGGAAAAGAAAGAGTTTCACCTTTAATTATTCTTTTGCTGAGAAGCCTTCATTTCTCCATTGTTTCACACACAAAAATTCTGCAGGCAGATACAACTGCTACTTTCCTGTCCCTATCACTGAGCAGCCGCTGAATTTATTAACAGAAGTCCCACTCCATGCCCAAGGATGGCTCACAGGGAGCTTTAGAGCTTACAAGTGCAAGTGATTGCT